CTCGCCTTTGTCAGTCTGCCCCAGGGCAGCTGTGGCTACAACTGTAGCTGCCTCCACCAGTGTGTGAATGTGAGAGTGAATGAATAGTGGAATTGTACAACTCTTTGAGGGCCCCAAAAAGCGCTATATAAATGCAATCCATCATTATTATTTTTACTACCCAGAGCTCGTGACCGGAGGTGAGGGTGGGAACGTAGATTGGCGGGTAAATTGACAGCTTCATTTTTGTGCTCAGCTCTCTGTCTCTCACCATGACAGACTGGTACAGCGTCTGCATCACTGTGGACACCACCCCAATGCGTTTGTCAGTCTCTCAGTTTCCTCTCCACTCACTCGTGAACAAGACCCTAAAACCTGCACTCATTGGTGAAAAATACAGGGCGCCAGTGGTGAACCTGCCAGTTCTGGTATTTTATAAATTCGGGCCCTCAGACCATGAAGTCTGTTTCTGATTGTTTGGTTAGAGACATTCACACCAGTGGCCTGCTCGAGATCATTATGTAGCCTAGCAGTGCTCATCTTGTTCCTCCTTGCACAAAGGAGCAGATACCGGTCACGCTGATGGGTTAAGGACCTTCTAAAATCCTGTCGAGCTCTCTGAGTAACTACCTGTCGTAGAATCTCCTCTATGCTCTTGAAACTGTGCTGGGAGAGACGGAAAACCTTCTGGACTATCTGTGTGACCTCTGTAGGGTTCAGGCATCCCATCACGCTACCAGTAATGACACTGGCCCCAGTCAAATGCAAAACTAGCGAAAAGCAGTCAGAAAACATGAGGGGAAAAAGGTCAGTGTCCTCCAGCTGTGCAACCATTCCTTTTTGTCTCGTTGTTGCCCCTCTAGTGCATTGTGGATTTCATTAACACCAAAGCAGCTGAAAATGACTAACAACCTCCTCTGCTACTTTCCTGACCACAACAATGTCTCACAAGTTTAACTGTCTTGATGCTGTACTCGGATTAAAAAGGGTTTTTTGCTGTTGTACTTATACAGTCTTTTCTTTCTTTCACAGAAACATTGCAGGGCGAAAGTAAGTTTTTACTGAAATAAACAAAGAATGTAGTTCATAGTTATACTATATTACTAGTATAGTTTTTCCTGACTTTGTTTTTGTTTTTGCTCTGATGTAATGTGTTCAATTGCATTGCTCTCATACAGTCTTTCCTTTCTTCCATAGGTGCTGGGAAAAAAGCGCGCAGTAAGCTTGTTTTATTCGTAACTTTTTCTTACTTCAGTAAAATGTATATGGACAATTTTGTTGTAGTACCAAACATGCTTTAATGAAACTGGTGAATTCAAAAAGCGATCCGCCACTTTGGAAAAAAAAAAGATCAAATTCTTAAACTAAAAATAATTTTTTAAATAATAAAACTAATTACAGAATTTTGCACTTGATGATGCTCAATCATCCAGGTAAGTAAATCACCAAAAGTTGATTCTGTTCATCTGGACGTAGCGTCCTGCCAAAGCAAAAAAACCTGTAGTGATCCCGTACGTGTCAGGAGTATTGGAGAAGTTGAGATGCATTTTTTTCTAAACACCGGGTCTCTGTGGCTTTTAAACCCCAAAACACGCTGCGCCAAAAATTGGTCCACCCCAAGGATCGGTCCC